GCTGCCACTGAGCCCCAGGCCACCTCTCCCTGCCCACCTTCTATTCACCGCAGCACAGCTAAGACAACAGGCGAGCCAGCAACAGAGCCACAAAGCCAAACACTGGCCTTTCCACACTCTGGGAGGAGCCAACTCTTAGAGAACCGGCGTGGAGAGGCGACAAGACACACTGGGATGTGAAAAGGCAAGACACAGACCAACACGCACAAGAGACCACCATCTGGGTGGGGGACTGGTGTGTGTGTTGGGGGGGGCACACACACGTATGTGAACACACACGCCTGTACTCATTCGTCTCTAGAGTATCCAGAAAGGCACCCAAGAATGGCAAAGAAGTGTTGCCCCGTGGCAGGGGAATAGGGTGGCTGTGGGGCAGGGGAAGGAGGAAGCCTTGTCTCTTTCCACTGTATGCTTTTCGTACTTTTAACAGCGTACCATACATCTACTTTCTTCTTTTTTTTTGAAAGCCCCCAAAACAGACGCCTAGGGAGGGGGGCTGATCTCAGAAGGCAGGAACTCCCACAGACACACCTGGCAGGGCAGGTTCACTGCATAAGTGACGGGCAGGTTAAGTGTGACAGCATCAGGACTCTGAGTGCCAGAGCATGGGTGAGGGACTCTGCCAAGCTTGTCAAGGAGCCCGACTTGGGATGCAATCCTGGGACTCCAGGATCAGGACCGAGCTGAAGGCAGTCGCTTAACCGACTGAGCCACTCGGGCACCCTCACTCTGAGGTTGAAGTCTTCTATGGCTTCCCGGTGCCCTTCTGAGTCTGACCAGATTGCATTTTGCAATCCATGGTGAGGCTGCACCAAACTTCCTCTCCTGCCTCTGAAAGACCACTGACCTCTTCTTTTTTTCTCCAGGCCTTCTTACCTCCTTACCTCCGCCCAGATCACCCTTCCTTAACACTCCATTTAGCTCATCTTTTGGACGTCCCCTCCTCCAAGCCCTCCCTTACGTCCAGACAGGATCAGGTGCCTCCTCTGGCCTCTCCGAACCCCAAGCACAGACTGTAGGCCATCACTGACAAGAGGACCTCTGTCCCCCACTGCATGGTGAGCTCTGGGAGCCTGTCCCGGCCCCCCAAATGTCCCACCCAGCACAGCACCAAGCCCAGAGGAGGCACTCTGAGTTTGCGGCTGAATTCACAGCCCGCTGACCCGGGGAATTTATCTACCTTGCCCCCAGCCCTTCCACCACACACCCCGCCCGGACACTGGAAGGATACGTGTGCCTGATCAATCATGCACTTGCACAGTGTGAAGTCCGTGTGGGGCAGGTTGGTGAGGGCCTTCAGCAGGATCTGGGCAGTGACTGTGGTCTGAAAGAAGGCTGGGTTGAACTGGTACCTGGGAAGGGGAAAAAGAGACAGAGCCTCAGCGGCCTCTTCAGGTACCTGAGGCCCAGTGCTGTGGCCCAGAGCTCAGGAGTTGGACATACCTGGGCTCCAGTCCCAATCACAACACACTTGCTCTGTGATCTTAACCTCCCTGGCCTAGTTTCCTGTTCCACAGATGGGGACAGTTAATCCGCCCAGCCACCCTGTAAGCCAGATGCTGTTAAGTGGTTCACAAGCAAATGAATATGAAGTACAGTCTGCAGCAGTGGTAGAGGCTCTGGAGCCAAACTGCTTGGGTTCCCTCTGGCCTCATAAGTGACCCTGGACTACCTCTTTGAAATTCTCTGTGTTATCGGTACCCCCTCTCAAAAGAAGAGACAGTAACAACCCTGTCTACTTCAAAAAGACAATACGGCCATCTGACTTAACACCTACAAAACTTAGAGCATAGAAGCTAACGCACCATGAGCACTCACTAAACAGCAATTACGCCACTAACGATCTAATCAACCCCACAAACACAAGTGTTCTTATTGCCATTTTATAGACCTCCAAACTGAGACAACATATAAAAATTACACAGCTGACAGCATGTCTATATGGCACGGGGTGGGGGGATAGAATGCAAAGGTCTCCATCCACAGGAGAACGGGTGGTTTAGTCAGTCGCACAGGAAGCCCTACACAAGAATGACAATAAATTGCAGCCGCAGGGGGCGCCTGGGTGGCTCAGTGGGTTGAGCCTCTACCTTCGGCTCAAGGTCGTGATCTCTGAGTCCTGGGATGGAGCCCCACATTGGGCTCTCTGCTCAGCAGGGACCCTGCCCCCCCACCGCCTGCCTCTGCCTGCCTCTTTGTCTACTTGTGATTTCTCTCTCTCTGTCAAATAAATAAACACTTAAAAAAAAAAAATTGCAGCCGCAGGAAAAAATGGATCGATCTCACAAACCCGATGCAAAGTGGAAGACGCCAGATGCCAAAACGCTCATGCTGTAGGACTACGTTTGTGTCAAGTTCAACACAGGCAAACCCGAACCAAGCTCCTCAGGACACACGCATGTGTGGTAAACTCACATAAAACCAGATCATGAGAGCCTAAAAGGGGTTACAAGGGTGGGAGGTGAGGTGACTGGCACAAAGGATACAAGTCAAGGGGCCTGGGGCCCTGACAACACTCAATTTTGTAGTGAGTGTGGTGTTTACATGGGTTCTCATTTGTACTTATTTAACTAGAATTTTGTGTTTTGTACCAACCTATATATATAACCCTTAATTAATTTTTAAAAACCATCTCTCCTGCCCCAACTCCCTTGGCTTCCTGGCCTTGCACACCAAGAGAAGCCATATCCCAAAGACCAGCCCAATCCTGCCTCATCCAATGTTGAGAGTGCCCGCCTGCCCCGGCTGGCTGCTGGCCTGGAGGTGGGGGTGGAGGCAGACACTCACAGCTTCAGGACAGCCAGGTTGGCTTCCAGATCATAGGCATTCTCCTTCGCCTGCGTCTCCACGTACCGCTCCAGGGTGGCCAGATTCTCAGGATTGTACCTATAGAAGAATTGAGACAGGAGAACAGAGACGAAAAAGGAGCTGAGGCCAGTCACTTTATGGAGGCAGGGCTGCTGGGGGAGAACTCTGGCACTGGCCACTTACTCTTAAATCAGCTCTATAACCTCTAATAACGCTTACCCACGTTACAGACCTAAACCAAAGTTCTGAACCACCCCCCCCGCCCATCAGACTCCTGGAACTTTTCTAGGCTATCCCGCCACCTCTCAGCCAATCAGTCACTGTAACCTGTACACCTGGCCTCCTGGGCATCTTTGCCCCTCACCCCTCCTCCCTGCCCCAGACCCCCATACTGGTTTAGTCCCATCCTTTCCTGCTTAGCTTCCCCCATCCCAGCCCTGACTACTTCAGGCTATCAATGCCTACTGCCCGGTTTGTCTGGGCTCTGAACCGGGAACCCCCTGCAAGCATGGCCTGGGACTGTCCTGGTCACCTCTGTCCCCAGTACTGCCCAGAGAGGACAGAATAGATTTCAGTGACATGTGTCCCATGAACAGCATGAGAGGAAAAAAAAGAGAGAGAGAGAGAGAGATGAAGAGGCACTGACGGACACTGTGAGAGGCTGAGAAGCGGTGTCACAGGAAACTGAAGGGCTGTGATAGGGAAAGCTGAGCAGCAGAGAGAAAGACCTTAAAGCAATTAAAAAGCGAGAGCACTCCGAGGTAGGCAGGGCTGTCTCATGTCCGTAGGTCCCTGCAGTACCGTCTCCTTACACACGTCCCCCTCCAGGGCGAATGGGAAAACCTACTCCCGGGCAAGTCCAGGATGCTAATCACCCCTTGCGCTTTCTAGAAAATCCCCTCCACCACGCCGCTTGGCCAGAAACGCTCCCTCCGACCGGGCTCAGACCTGTCGATACCCTTGAGCAACTTGCCCACGTTAGCTCTCATCTGCTCAAACATCGCCATGACGAATGTCGCCTCCCACGCCGGGGCCGGAGCCGAAGAGCCAGCCGGTACGGCGTCCCCGAGGACCGGAAGAGGAAGAGGTGGTGGAAACGGAAACTACGTCGTCGTCTTCTTCGCCGCGCTTGCGGCGCCCGCCACGTGACTTTCTTTCCGGCGGGCGCAGTTGACGCGTGCGCCTACGCTCCCCACAACCCGGACCCACAGCGTGAAAAAAGGCTTCGTCTTGCCCAGTACGCTGGCGCCGGCTCGGGGCGAGGAGGCGGGGCGAAGCTTTTCCCGGGCCTCGCGTACGGTGTCCTAGCCATTCGGGGACGTGTGTGCGAACTCCGCGGCTGGGAGACCCCCCCCCCCACCGGCGTACGGGCTTCGTGTTGCGCGCGGTCGTGAACTCACAAAACCGTGCTGGGGAGCGCGCAGTATCTCTTAACTTGGGCCTGGCCAGATTCCTTAGGGAAGTGCCCTTTGAGGTCCCCTTTGCCCCAGGCCTCGGCTTCTGAAGCAGGATCCTGAGCTCTGGGGTCCTCTACCTCGTCCCCACACTCCTCCCCAACCCCAGGGCTAGGGACCCGTAAGGTTGTGATGCTCTATGCCGCACGGGCGGGCTGGGCTGAAGGGCTCCGGGACCTTGCTGGCTGGTGCTCAGTCTCCTCCAGTCTTGGGGGAGAAGGCGAGTGCCCTTCTGCACACTTTAGACGCGAATGCACAAGCATGTGGTATATCCGTGGAGGTATGTGCACACACATAGCACGTGTGTGCACACGGGTATCCAGTCGTGTGCGCGTCTACTGGTCTGGCACAGTGGGTACATTGGTGGGTACGGCCAAGCGTATGTATGTATCTAGGGAACGGGCATGTCCAGGGCATGGGCACTCCTGGGCAGGCCTATCATCCATCTCCGGACGGCGGCCAAACCCTCAAACACTCAGCAGAGTTTCAACTGTGGTTTTTAGCCACCGCCCAGGACGCGGTAGGGGGTGCCAGGGCAGGCCCTCCTCCCTCCTCCCCCCAGATCACAAGATAGTTTGCATCTGGTTTACATTCTGCCCTGGGCCCTGGAGGTGGAAGAGGGGGGTCCCCTGGGTCCCAAGGCAAGCTGCCCCTCACAGGCTCTCAGGGCCCAGGGGACAGGGGGTGGAGCCGGCAGCACAGCCCTGTGCTGGGGCAGGAAGCGAGAGTGGGGAGGGGGGAGGCCACAGCCGGTGGAGGCAAGGCAAGGCGGGTGCAGGGTGCAGGACGTGTGGGGAGGGAGGGAGGTGCCACACTCGAGCCCTGAGGCCCTGCTGGCCCCTGGGCGCAGGCCCAGCTCCAGCTCCCAGGGATGGACCTCGTGGATCCCGACATCTTTAACAGGGACCCCCGGGATCATTATGACCTGCTGCAGCGGCTGGGTGGCGGCACCTATGGAGAAGTCTTCAAGGTGAGGACACCCCTCCTTCTCCATCACCCTCAGACCAGCGAGCCCTGGGGATGAGGCCCAAGAGGGGAAGGGGATGAGAGAGGATCCCAGTCCTTGGCTGGGGCTCAGGGATGCTGAGTTGGAACTCAGGCGAATGGAGCCTGCCTGACTGCCAACTTCCCCTTCACAAGGCTCGAGACAAGGTGACGGGGGACCTGGTGGCAGTGAAGATGGTGAAGATGGAGCCTGGTGAGGACGCAGGCACTCCCTCCCCAACCCTGACCCCTCCTCTTGGGACACGGGGATGCCTCCCCCATAGGCCCTCCCCGCAGCGGCCTTTTCTTTCCTGTTCCTCCATACAGATGACGATGTTTCCACACTTCAGAAGGAAATCCTCATCTTGAAAACTTGCCGGCATGCCAACATCGTGGCCTACCATGGGAGTTATCTCTGGTGATGAGCCTCAAACCTGCCCTGGGGCCATGCCTCGCCCCCAGCCCAGAACCCGCATTCCTGACCTCCAGTCCTGGACTCCCATTTTAAACTGGGCCCCCCCAACTCGAAGTTTAAACTGGCTCCCCCCCAGTCTGAAGTCCCCCTTTTCTGACCAGAGTGTTCTCTGATGCAGTCTGCAGTCCAGGACTCCTGTTTCTGAGCAGGGATCCCCAAAAGCAATCCCTTCATAGTAACCGAACCTGAAAGCAAGTCCCCTAAAACTAATTTTTCATCATCCTGCCGTTCAGGCCCCCCAGTTCCATTCTCTGCTCCCTTAATTCCCTAAATCCCCAGACCCCTAAATTAATATCCCAGATACACCAGTAATAATCGTTGTCCCCCCAGACCTAATACCCTGGGTCCCTTTGTCCCCCTGAACCGCCCCCAACTTGGAAGATATCTGGCCTTTCTTCTGGGTTACCATCGGTTAGCAGAGTTAGGAGTCCTGCTGGGTTGAGTCAAAAGACCTGGGTTTTGGTCCAGTTGACCCCGAACATTCATTTCCTCTCTGAGCCTCAACTTACCCACCTATAAAACGGAAGTGGAATGATCTCTCTTTGGTGGACAAGGAGAGGTGGATGACCGCTGTCACATTAAAGTTCTTGTTGAGGTGGAATGAGACAGACAGTGAGCCAGGGTTCACCCACCAGTGACGACTGATTACTGTTGTTCTTACTACTCTTGAATTAAAGGCTTCAGAAGTTCTGGATATGCATGGAATTCTGTGGGGCTGGTTCTCTCCAGGACATCTACCAAGGTGAGAGGACGGGCAAGGGGGATCCAGGCAGCACCCCGTCCTCTGCCCTTCCAATCTCTCTGGGGTTGTGTCTTCTGGGACGTTCTTTCTGGTCCACATTTCCTGCGAGGAGCCCCGATCTGGGCGCAGGCCTGGCCTGGTTGGTTCTGGGAATACTATGGTGACCAAGTGGGCCCTGGGCCCTTCCCTTTAGCACTTGACAGTCTAGCCCCGATCTCTGCATGCAGTCATGCCCTCTGTTTTCCTCTCCCATCTTCCTCTGTTGGCATTTTCTCACTAAGGTGTCTGTTCAGTGTTTGAGTATTTCTGCATTTTTTGGCCCATAGCTGGGTCCACATTTTCATTGACTGAGTGAATGAATTCCTGACTCTCTTTTCTTCTCTCTCTCTCTCTCTCTCTCTCAGCCTGCTTCTTGCTCTTTTGGAAAATTTGAGGATGGGGATGGGTTGGGCCTCTGATCACCTCTCCAGTTTTCACGGCCACCTCTGTCTTTGGCCTCCTCTCTCTCTCCGTGAACCCAAGATCTCAAATGTCAGACAAAGAAGAAATTCCACATTAGGTCACCAGGGGGAAACTGAGGCCCTCAGAGAGGAAGTGGTTCACCCAGCTGGTCTAGCAGACCTGGTCTCTGACTCCTTCTGTCTGTTGTGTATCATTCTCTCTCCGCCTCTGTGTCTCTGTTTCTCAGCCTTTCTTCATGTTTTTGCGTCTCAGTTTGAATCTGTTCCCGTTTCTCTGTCTTTCTGTTTCTCTGTCATTATCTGTGTGTGTGTGTGTCGGTATCCATATTCCTCTGCCTTTTCTTATTTTGCAAACTCCCATCACCCCCTGCTCAGAACACTCCCCCCAAAGAGAAGCCCAACCTCCCCAGGGTGACCCCCACCTACACCCAAGCTGCCAGACTCACCTCCTACCCCTTTTCTCCCCCACCCCCACTCTGCTCCACCCACTTTGCTGCTTTCTGAACCCATGGGGCCCTCTCTGCCACTGGGCCTTTGCACTAGCTCTTCTGGTCCCCTCGGAGCTGGACTGATCACATCTTCACCCTGCCACCTTCTCAGAGTAGACTTCACCGACCACCTGGTAAAATGTCATAGCCCCTTCCCACACATATTTCCTGTTATTCTTTTTCACTTTAGTTTTCTTCTTGCTATTTATTAGCATCTTGGGGGCTGTGCTGTAGTTATGTTGTTTACAGTCCGTGGCCCCGACTGGAATGTTCTCTCCACACGGGCAGGGATCTCTGTGTCTTTTGTCCACAGCTGTCTCCCCAGTGCCCACCACAGTGCCTGGCACCCAGTGGACACCGTAAATATCTGTTGAATGAATCTATCTCCCTCTGGCCTCTGGTTCCCTGCGTTGGTCGCTGACCGTCCCTCCATCTCCCCCTCCCACTTGTCTCATCTGTTCCCCCCTCCCCATGTGGCACCCTCTCAGCCAGTGTGGGTGGGGACTGGAGTCTCCCGGGACCAGCTCTCCTGGTTCCCACCCAAAGCCACTGGTGTGACCTTTGCAGTGACAGGCCCCCTGTCAGAGCTCCAGATTAGCTATGTCTGCCGGGAAGTGCTCCAGGTGAGGAGAGAACAGGTGGGCCGGGGTGGGGCAGGGACCTCCTGCCTCCTCCCTGCTCCAGCCCCTGGGCACTCACAGCCCCACTGTCCATCCCTCTTCCCAGGGACTTGCCTATCTGCACTCACAGAAGAAGATACACCGGGACATCAAGGTGGTCTTGGGGCAGAAAAGTGGCCTTGGTGGTTGGGGTGGGGGGCACCCAGGAGACTAAGTGGTGTTTGGAGGACTCAGGGTGGTGTGGAGCTGTGGGGCCAGGGGCTGGAGGCAGCGTTGGGCTGGGGGTGGGGTGTCTCTGACAGCCTCTCATTTCCCCCTCTCTCCCCAGGGAGCCAACATCCTCATCAATGATGCTGGGGAGGTCAGACTGGGTGAGTGTGGTGGGTGGCGCTGGGGAGGAGGACTGACTGGGGGCCAAGGGAATAGGGCACCCCAGGTCACTATGTCTCTTTCTCTTGACCTCCAGCTGACTTTGGCATCTCGGCCCAGATTGGGGCCACACTGGCGCGACGCCTCTCTTTCATCGGGACACCCTACTGGTGAGGGATGCCTGGTGGGCAGCTGATGTGCAATGGGGGGCGGTGGCTGTCCCCACCTGGGTCACTGGGAATCTCTTTCCCAGCTCCTTTCCCTGCCTTTATCTTTCCCTGTTGAACGTTCTTACTTTTTGGCTCTCTCTTGAGTTTTTTTTTTTGCCTAGGTTCTCTTCGTGTTGATGTTTCTTCTCATCTCTCCGTCTCTGTCTCTGTCTCAACCTCCCTGTGTCTGTCTTTATTCCTATCTCTCCCTTCATCTTGACATTTCTGGTTCTCTCTGTGCATCATTTTCCTTTCTCTGTCTCTCTTCTGCCCCCACACCCACGTGTCACCCCCTTCCCCTCCTGGTGTCACCCCTGGCTGAGGGTCTCTGCCCCCCAGGATGGCTCCGGAAGTGGCGGCCGTGGCCCTGAAGGGGGGATACAATGAGCTGTGTGACATCTGGTCCCTGGGCATCACAGCCATCGAACTGGCCGAGCTGCAGCCACCGCTGTTTGACGTGCACCCCCTCAGGTAGCCAGGCCTGGTCGGTACCCCCAGTAACCCCCAACCCTGACCCTGATCACCACCACCCCACCTACAGGAGACACCCCTTCCTCACAGCTCACTCTGAGAACCCCAAGGATCATCTCAACCCAGAAAGCCTTTTCTTCACCCCTCCACAGTAGGAACCCCCCCACCCCGATCGCAGGGACTCCCTATCTGGAGGCTCCCATCATAGGTGCTGTAGCTGTCATGTGACAGAGTCCCCCAGAAGTGGCATCCCAGTGCACTGTAAAACCTGAACCCCATTCTGGTTTTGTCCCTTGTTTTGCTCTCTGCTGACGTCAGTGCTATGGGGGACCCCTTGAGCCATGAGGTCTGACCCCCTCCCCACTGGGGTCTGAACACCGTGTTCTCTCCTTACTTTTCTAGAGTTCTCTTCCTCATGACAAAGAGTGGCTACCAGCCCCCCAGGCTAAAAGAAAAAGGCAAATGGTAGGACATGGGATAGGGAGGGCAGAGCCAGGATTGAGGGTCTGATGGGAGAGTTTCTGGTCCCCTCACCCCAGAACTTGGCTTCTTCCTCCCAAGGTCGGCTGCCTTCCACAACTTTGTCAAAGTCACCCTCACTAAGAACCCCAAGAAACGGCCCGGCGCCACCAAGATGCTCAGTGTAAACCACCCCTCTCTTCCCTGAAGAGCCCTTCTTAAACTTACCCCCATAATTCCCCCAGGACCTCCCCAAGATTCTCCAAATTGTACCCCAGGCCTTTTGCCAAGATATTCTGAGTTGTTAAAACTCACATATTCCCCATGGTCTTCAGACCCATTCCTGGGTCTACTCTGGAATTCCCAGGGAAGCCCAGTCCCCTCGAAGACGCCTCTGGAATTCTCCATTTGCCCCTGCTGGGAATTTTAGATTCTTCTAATCCCTTCCAACCCCGTAAAATTCCCCAGTCTCAGTTCCCCCAGAGTTCCCTGTCTTCCCTGTCGGTTGGCATCTTCCCCACTAGATTCCCTTAGACCGGTTCTCAGGCCCCTGTCCCAGCCTCTCCCTGACACCAGCCCTCTGTCTGCTGACCCCCTCCTCTCCTCTCTAGCATCAGCTGGTGTCCCAGCCCAGGCTAAATAGAGGCCTGATCCTAGATCTTCTTGACAAACTGAGGAATCCAGGGAAGGGGGCCCCTGTGGTTGAGATTGAAGATGAGGAGCCTGAGGTAAGGGCACCCTTGGCCAACAAAGATGGAACCTCCCAGACTTTGCTCAGGCTGCGCCCCTTGCCTGGAGCGCCTTCCTGCTGCCTCTCTCCAAGGGAAAAAGCAGAGGATGGAGGCAGGGTTTGGTGCAGGGCTGAGGGCACAGAGGGGTATGGGAGAGCCAGAGGCTCCCAGCTGGGCCCACAGGGTGGTAGGGATGCCAGAGGGCTGTGGCCCTGAGCTGCCCCTCTGCCCAGGTGCCCCCTGCTGTCCCTCGGCGGATCCGGTCCACCCACCGGGCCAGCTCTCTAGGGATCCCAGATGCTGACTGCTGTCGTGAGTAGAGAATCCTGAAGCTTGGGGACCCGTGACCCTATAATAGATCTAAGACCATCTAAGACCCCCCCCCCGCCCCGTGATTCTGCCAGAGACCCTCAGCACTGTCTGATCTCATGACTGACCCCAGAGACCTTTGTCACTTTCACACAGACCCTCAGAGACTCTCATCACTCTTGGACCCTGCAAGAGACTCTAGAAAACCTCATCACTGCCTGACCTACAAAATTACTGCAGAGACCCCATAATTTTGTGACCTGCAGGCAGACCCCATGAATCTTCCCATAACACCAGGACCCCCAAAGAGCCCTCTGAAATCTCTCTCACATCCCCAATACCCAAATGAACCTTGAAAATAAACGCTCTATAACTTTGAGCCCCCACCTCCCTGGTCCCAAACCCTGACCCCCTCCTTGGAAACCAAGACCCTTCCCCCTGTGATAGCTCCAGTCCTAAGATCTTGACCCCGCAGCACCCCCCCCCCCCCCCCCCCCCCCCCCCCCCCCCGCTTTCCCCCCCCCCCAAACCTCTTGCCCCCGACCCCCCCCCCCCCCATTTTCGTCTCCTCAGCTCACTGTGTTACCCTCCCCCCTTCTAGGGCGGCACATGGAGTTCCGGAAGCTCAGAGCAATGGAGTCCAGACCCATAGCCCACACGGTGAGAGGTCTCCCCTTGCCCTCACCTCGGATGCCCTCCCCTCCCCCTAGGCACCACTGACCCTTGACTGTCCACAGGCCCACTTACAGCCCCCTGGAGACTTCAGGAGCAGCAGCCCAAGGTCAGGGACCCTCAGTGTGGAGGGGAGGGGACTGGGACATGTGGGGGAAGCACCTGAGGGTCATGCCTGTCACTCCTCAGGAGGCAGCTGTCAGAGTCCGACGATGACTACGATGACGTGGACATGTAAGAGAGGCCTGGCCCCGCCCCACCAGCCCTCACCCGCCCCATCCTCCTATAGCCGCTGTCTCCCTTCCATCCCAACCCTGACCTCAGCCCCTGCTGGCCTTCCGCCACTCATCCCCAGACACCTGACTAGATCCTTAATACTGTCTCCCCCTGTACCCCCTGATACTCCTTCACCTCCTCTCTGGCCCGGCTCCCACTCTACCCCCCCAAGCCAACCCCTAGCGCCACCCCAGCTGAGCCCTGGACCCTCCACTGCGGCCAGGGCCCCCCAGCTCCCCGATGCTGCTCAGATGCCAGCCTGAACCCTCAGAGCCCAGCCTTCCTCGGCCTCTTCCCCGCCCTGGGAACTTGCCCCACACCAGACCACCGACCGAGGAGGGCAACAGTCAGCCCTGCCCCGCCCATCCCTTCTGCACATCTCCGTTGCAGTGGGCTCATGGGCGGTGCCCAGCCCCCCAGCTCCCATGATCAGCATTGCAAAATTCCGGCTGGAGGCACTGGCCACACTTGCCATCTGGCATTACTGAGCCTCTGAGGGCTCTAATCCTCAGCTCCAGCCCAGACCCAGTCAGCCCCGGCCCTCCTGACCTCAGCCCTCCAGTCGCACACAACCCCCAGTCCTCATTACCGACAACTCCCCCCACCAACTCACCCCATCTTTGTGTTCCAGCCCCACCCCTGCAGAGGCCACACCTCCTCCCCTGCCTCCCAAGGTAAGGCCCTGGGCCCACTGGAGCTGGGTACTGGGCACCAGGGTCCTTAGATGCTCGGATACTGCGCCCTCTAAGGCTGGAGTCTGGGAGACTGGATCCTGAGCACACTGGGATCTGGAAGCAGCATTCTTGAACCGGGGGGTGGGATTCAAAGTATTTAGCCAGATGGGCACCGGTCCTGGGAGCCCCCAGCACAAAGCGCTTCGGCATTAAGCCTTTAACTGCTGCCGTGTGTTGGTGGTGGGTTGGGGTGGGGACAGGGTTGATGCCTGGGACAGGAGTAGGACACTGGGAGGAGGGTGAGCCACAACCAACGGCCAACATTAGTTCTGGAGGAGGCAGGGCACCCTCTCTCGGGGATCTCCTCATGTCCCTTCACCCATTCCTCCTCAATCTCCATAGCCCAAGTTCCGTTCTCCATCAGACGAGGGGCCTGGGGGCACCGGGGATGACGGACAGCTGAGCCCGGGGGTGCTGGTCCGCTGTGCCAGTGGGCCTCCCCCCCGAACCCCTCACCTCGGGCCTCCCCTGGCCACCCGCAGCCCCCACCTAACTGCCCATTCAGGTAATGGGCAGGCTGGGGCAGGAGGTGGGCAGGGGTGTGTGGGGGGCTAGGGGGGCCTTTGGGGGCTGATTTTCCCCCCACCCTGTCTCAGAACCCTCACTCTGGAACCCAACGCCCCCGGAGCCTGATCAGCCCCCATTGTTACCGCCAAAGAAGGAAAAGATGAAGAGAAGGGTGAGCCAGGCTGTACCGAGGATTCACAACCCCGGGATGGGGCTGGGATGCCTGAGGGTGGGCAGAGTGATAATGATGGGAGGTGAGACTCGGTGAGCCCGGCCTCGGGGGTGACACTGACTTCATGTCCTTGTGTGGTGTCAACCTTCACAGATGTAGGTAGGGATCCCAGAGAAAGGCGTTGTCCCCCATTTCACAGATGGGGAAACAGAGGCAGAGAGGGATGCATAGCTTGCAGAGGTGATAAAGCTTTGGGGAGACAGAGGTGGGATTTGCATGCTGGTTGTCTTGGGTCAGAGTCTTAACCACCGCACCTTCCTGTCCCCTCCCTCCTTTTGTTGGATCTGCTGCTCTGCTCCCGGGGCCTGCCTAGGGATGTGCCCTTCTCGTGAAGTTGTTCAATGGTTGCCCGCTCCGGATCCACAGCACAGCCGCCTGGACACATCCCTCCACCAAGGGTGGGCTCTCAGAGGGGGGTGGGGAGGAGCCTTAACGGAGGCACTGAGGCAGGAGGAACAGGGGAGGGGCAGAGCTGAGGCAGAACCAAAGACCCCAGTTACAGTTGGGGTTTGCGGATCAGAGATAGGTAGAGTGAAGTGATTTGAGGGTGAAAACTAGGAAAATAAGAGTTTAGGGGCCAGGAATGTCAGAGAGAACAGAAAGGTCCGAGTTTGGGGTCTAAGATGGGGCACAGTTGGACCCCATTAACCTCAGTGAGAGGTTAATGGTAGGTTGGGGATCCACATTTTGGGGTTCGGGAGTTTGGGGGACGGGAACACAAAAAGGGAAGAGTGTGGGGATGAAGAGACATGGTCAGTGAGGGGTCAATGTTAAAGAAACAGCATTAGGGGCGACTGGTTGGCTCCATCAGTAGAGCAGGCGGCCCTTGATCTCAGGGTTGTAAGTTTGAGCCCTATGTTGGGTGTAGAGATTACTTAAAAATAAAATCTTAAAAAAATTGCTAAAACTCATTAAAGAAAACAAAGCATTAGAATTTGAGGGGGACACATTGGACAAAGAAAAAGCCACCTTTCAGAGGGCCGGAGTTTGAGGATCAGTGTTGAGACAAATTAGCAGTTGGGGACCAGAACTGGGAAGACAGAAGGACCGAACTCAGAGGGCTATTTGGGGAAGCATGACTAATGTTGGGGTCAAAAGTGAGGGGGTGTGGGTCAGGATTTGCAGGATGTATGTATGGGCCCAAGCATGAGAGGTAGGTGAGAATGAGACCAGCTCAGGGGACTGGGTTAGGGTTTGAGTTCACATTTGGGGAAACAGAGGCTGGGAGTGTCAGTATGGGGGTAAGAGAGAACTGAGGGTCAGGGCTGGGGGACAGACTGCCAGTGTTTGGGGTCAGACAGGTGGGGGTTGGGGAGGCCCCCCAGGGTGAGGTAGGTCCCAGTGGCCTTGTGTCTGTCCCCACAGACCAGCACCTGCTCCTGGGGGCAGAGGAAGGCATTTTCATCTTGAACCGGAATGATCAGGAGGCCACACTGGAGATGGTGAGCACAGAACCGAGGGGCCAAGGGCAAGGGGCTGGAGTTGGGGGCTGCTGGGGTCTTATGGGGTCTTATCTCCTCCATTCTCTGCAGCTCTTTCCCAGCCGGACTACCTGGGTGTACTCCATCAATAATGTCCTCATGTCTCTCTCAGGTCTGGCTGTGGGTTGGGTGGGAGGAGAGGGGTTCAGAAGTTAAAGCGTTGAGAGTCAGGGGGTTGGGAGGTAGATGGACACAGCTGGAAAAAAAAAAAAAAAACGTATGCTCCCCCTTCACAGAGCCCACAGTTAAAAATCCCAGCCACTTTTTCACTGGGGGACTTGCTCCCCGAGCCTGTTTCCCTACCTGTACAATGGGGTTCACAGTAGTCCCACCTCCATTCAGTTTTGAGGTGAGCTCTACAGGGAGTCTTTACATTTCCTTCATGTTCAGATGCCAATTAGAACTTACTCCAGGGGCGCCTGGGTGGCTCAGAGGGTTAAGCCTCTGCCTTTGGTTCAGGTCATGATCTCAGGGTCCTAGGGTCAGGCTCTCTGCTCAGCGGGGAGCCTGTCCCCCCCCCCCCCGCCTGCTTGTGATCTCTCTGTGAAATACATAAATGAAATATTAAAAAAAAAAAACTTTCTCCACACTTTACTAAAATAGAGTGAGTGAGGAGTTAGAGATTAAAATTTTGTGTTGTTTTAGAAACATTTTGTGTAAGAGAATTTCTAATCTATGAGGGAACGCCAAGCCAAAGAGGCTGCTTGATGACACCTTTAGGAGAATTTCTAGATCAATTACCTCTTAAACTGAGCAATGTGTGTCACTTCATCTGACTGGTTAAGTGTCCATAGGTTCACATGTGGCTCCAAGCTCAGGAGGAGAGGGAACATATTTAACTCATTAATTGTTCACCGGAGCCCAGCGGGGTGCCTGGCCTAGGGTGCACATTTAAAATATGTCGAGCGAAAAAGGAATAAACAAAAATGCCTGAGACTTGGAGCCTTGGGAGTTTCAAAGGGATGGGGCCAAGCGAAGGGACAGGGACGGTGAGTGTCTGGTGACCTATAACAGCCTGCTTCCCCCCTACACACACCCACACTGCAGGAAAGACCCCCCACCTGTATTCGCATAGCATCCTGGGCCTGCTGGAACGGAAGGAGACTAGAGCGGGAAGCCCTATCGCTCACATTAGCCCCCATCGGCTATTGGCGAGGTACCAACCCCCAGTGGCACCACAGACCCCTGGGATCCCCCTTTCCTGCCGTCCCTCTGCATTTACGCCTCCCTTCTTCTGCAGGAAGAACATGGTCTCCACCAAGATCCAGGACACCAAAGGGTGCCGAGCGTGCTGCGTGGGTGAGAGAGATCCCAGCTGGGTGGACATGAAGGGGGCGGGGCGGGGCTTGGGCTGCATCTACCCGAGAGTTAAGACCAAGGCCGGCTGTCCAGAGTCCGGGGAGAGATGTGTGCCCTTTTCGGGGATGGGGGGCGGAGGGGAGAGAGGATTGGCTCTAACCCATCCCTACCCACCTCCACAGCGGAGGGTGCGAGCTCGGGGGGCCCGTTCCTGTGCGGGGCATTGGAGACGTCTGTGGTCCTGCTTCAGTGGTACCAGCCCATGAACAAGTTCCTGCTGGTCCGGGTAGGGGGCCTGCAAAGGCTGGGGACTCTGTGAGGTTCAGTGGCTAGGGCCTCCCACTCATTCTGCTTCTGCCTAGAGCTTCGAGAAGCCCCGCTTCCATCCGAGGCCCCGCCCACGTGCGGAAGGCGCCGGAGGCTCACCCTCCTGGGGGCTTCCTGACCCTTAAGCTCCGCCTCTCACCCACAGGCCCTGTGTCCATGCCCTCGGGTCTTCAAGGAGACCCCCCCCAGATCCTTTAAGTCCAAGGAGACTTTGCTGCCTTTAGAGGTTGGCCCTCTGGGGGCCTTGCCTTTCTGTCATGAGGGTTGCACGACCCTAACAGAAGCCACGCCAACTCTAAGGCCACACTTGTCCATTTCTAAGTTGGCACCACCTCACTCCTCTGGGCTCTCACCCCCTGAAGTTTCTAGACGGCGTCCCTCCAAACCGAGAGCCCAGGCAATCCTTGGGAAGCCCCCTGCGGACTCGCCCCCGAGGCTCCGCCCCTCGTAGGCCCCGCCCCGCGCCTCCTCTGAGCCCGCCCCTCCCTGTGCGCCCCGCAGCAGGTGCTGTTCCCGCTCCCGACGCCCCTTCCAGTGTTCGCGCTACTGACCGGGCCAGGCTCCGAGCTGCCCGCCGTCTGCATCGGCGTGAGCCCGGGGCAGCCGGCGAAGTCGGTGCTCTTCCACACCGTGCGCTTCGGCGCGCTCTCCTGCTGGCTGGGCGAGATGAGCACAGGTGAGTGGGGCGGGCTCGCTGGGAGCGGGGGTGCTGGGAGGGGTGGGGCTGGGCGGCTGGGCGGTGCTTTAGCCCGGAGGTGTGGTTGAGAAAGGGGTTGAACCTGGGCGAGGGGAAGAGCGGTGGGTTTATGTAATATACAGCTGGTGAGCGTGAGGACCAGCCCGGCCTCGTGATGGGCGGGAGTTAGCCTGGGGCTTGGGAATGGAGGGGGTGCCTAGCGGAGGAAGGCAGAACCCAGAGGAATGGGCTTTTTGAACTTCTCCTGTCAAATAGAGCACAGGGGACCGGTACAGGTGACCCAGGTAGAGGAAGACAAGGTGATGGTGTTGATGGACGGTAAGGAGCCTCCTCCCTCTCTTTCCTCCACTGTTCCTGGATCTCCACCTCGCAGACCCTGTGCTGCTGAACCCGTCTAGGCCTTGCCTGCCTCCTGCTTTGCTTCTCAATGAATTTATTGTTCAGTCTCTCAGCAGTCCGCCCTTCCTAGCCTCACTCTTAAAACCCGCTCTCTACCCTCTTCTAGGATCTCTGAAGTTGGTGACCCCGGAGGGAGCCCCAGTCCGGGGGCTTCGAACTCCAGAGATCCCCATGACTGAGGCGGTGGAAGCCGTGGGTAGGTGCAGGGACGGGAGGGCCCCGGGCTCCCAGTGGATGCTCAGTGACACCCAAATGTAATGGGCTCTGCTTTCCTCCCAGCTATGGTCGGGGGTCGCCTCCAGGCCTTTTGGAAGCATGGAGTGCAGGTGTGGGCTCCAGGCTCAGACCAGGTAAGCGTCTCCATCTGAACGTGCCCATAACCCTGCCCCTCCCCTGCGGGTCTTCCAGTTCCCCAGATGGACCCGGAGGACTGAGTCAGGGTGTGGGGCTCTGAGGGGAAGCTCCCTCCCGTCTCAGTGCAGACAGGTCCTCTTCTATATACCCCAGGGTCTCTCGGGTCCAGAGCTCATTCCAGGCCACTGTGTGATCTTGTGCAAGAGATTCTGCTTCTCTCTGAGCCTCGGTCTCCCAGCTATAAAATGGGGCTCACTAGAGAGTTATGCGGGTGGTTAAGAGCATGAACAGACTGCCGGAGTTGGAATCCGGCTGGTTGACTTTAAGCAACTGACTTCACCTTCTCAGCTGGAAAATGGAATGAAAAATGGTACTTAGCTCATAGAACTATGTGTCAGATGCTGCCCCTGTATGTTTGTATTTTATTTCATCTTCTCGAGCACCCATCAGGAAGGTCCTATGATTTCCCAGGTTAGTAATCGAGGCACAGAGAGGTAAAGTAACTTGGTTGCGTGAATCACAGAGCTGGTGAATGGTGTTAGCAAGAATGATTATTTCTGGACCCAAGACTAGAAGTTCAGAGACACTCACCCCTGCATTCTCTTTGAGAGGGGAAGAGTCTTCTACATACTGACACACACACCTTTTCCCCAGCTGTTGCAGGAGCTGAGAGACCCCACTCTCACCTTCCGTCTGCTTGGCTCCCCCAGGTATGGACGTGGGGAAGGGGACACAGAACCTGGGAGGGGGGCCTCTGATGTGGACAGGTGTCTTGAGATGTCTCTAGCCACCTGTGTCTTTGGCCTGGACATTCTCTCTCCAGGTCTCCCTGCTTCTGTCTCTGCCGCTTATAGTCCACTCCCCCACAGCAGCCAAGGGGACATTTTTGTTTTTTAATTTTTATTTTCACTATTTATCTTGGCAAAACTTTAGACTCACAGAGAAGTTGCAAAAATAAATTTAAAAAATAGTTTTAAATCCTTGTATCCCCTTCCTTCATCCAGATTTCCCGGATGTTAACTTTTCGGTTGTTTTTGGAGGGGTTTTGTGTGTTTTTTATTTTTACTATGTTTGCTTGATCTTCCTCTTTCATATGTGTATAATTTTTTCTGACTGTTTGGGTGTGAATTGTCTCCTAAGTCAAAGCAAAGACCTCTTCGTGCAGACCACAGTGCAGCTGCCTAAATGAGGGAACTAGCACAGGACAGCACTACCTTCTAATCCACACACCCATTCAGGTCTCACCAGTTGCCCCAATGAAGCTTTTTTTAAAGAAAGATTTTATGTATTTGAGAGCTAATGAAGGAGAGAGAGCACGAGCAAGGTGAGGGCCAGAGAGAGAAGCAGACTCCCCACTGAGCGGGGAGCCCAACTCAGGGCTCCATCTCGGGACTCAGGGATGATGACCTGAGCCACCCAGGTGCCTCCCGATGATACTCTTTATAACCAAAAAATACTACCTTTTTTTCTGGATGATAGGCTGCAAGTAGAAGTCAGGTTTCTTTCCTCTTTAGCCTGGGACAATTCTTTGGGCTTTCTTTGTTTTTCAGGACCTTGATACTTTTGAAGAGTACAGGAAGGTTGTTTCCAGAATGTCCTTCAGTTGGGTTTGAGGTTTTCAGGCTAAGCATTCCGAGCAGGAATACTGCAGATGTGGTGGCGTGCCCTTCTCAGTGCATCCTATCACGAGGTCACGTCACTTTGTCCCATTACTGGACAATCTTTGAGCATTTGGGTAGGGTGGAGTCAGCCCGGTTTTTCCACTATAAAGTCACTTTTTGTATTAAAGTATCTTTTGGGGTGATTTGTTGAGAGGGTGTAAATATTACTGCTTCTCATCAGACTTTCACCTCCTGGTTTTAACATCTATTGGTTATTTCTGCCTGAATATATTATGAGGATAGTTACTAAATGGTAAATGTCTATTTCTGCACTTATTAGCTGGTATGCTACTGTGGGGACGATCTGTCCCTTCTCCACTGTGTGTGTGTGTGTATTTCAGCACAGCCTCGTGGATTTCCATTTTATTCTGGGGTGGGGGGGTTATAATCTATTACTATCATTATTTACTTCAAGGCACAAGACCTCCTACATTTAACCAGTGAGAGCCCCTTCAAGGATCTCTGGTGACCTTTTGACATGCCAGAGAGGCCTTTTAAAATCTAAGTTCCATTGCGTCACCCTCCCCTGCCACCTCCCCGTTTAAAACTCCTGTGGCCTCAAGATAAATACCCAGTCCTGGCCACAGCCCACAAGACTTTGACTTCTGCAGCCAAGTCCCAAGCTCTCTCCCACCTCAAAGCTTTTTTCCAGGTTGTTCTCTGCCCAGAACACCCTTCCCTGACCTTTCACCAAGTTCCCTCCTGAACCTTTTTGAGGCTCCACCATTTATTCTTTTTCTTTTTTAAGATTTCATTTATTTATTTGAGAGAGAGAGAGAGAAGGAACAGTGGGGATGGGCAGAGGGAGAAAGAGAGAGAAGCAGACTCCCCGCTGAACAGGAAGCCCAATGCGGGGCTTGATCCCAGGACAGAGATCATGACCAGAGCTGAAGGCAGACGCCTAACTGAGCCACCCAGGAGCCCCTCCACCGTCTTTGGGCCACCTTGGCTGACCCTTTGGGATAGGTTTCCATGGTGTTTTGCACTCATGTAATTCACTGGGTCATGGTGGTCTCCCCTTCTAGACTGGTCTCCTGTCCTCAAGGGCGGAGACCGTGGCTGTGGTAGCCCAGCACTGTGCTGGCAAACCGCTGTTGCTCCTTTGCAGATGAATGGATGAACAAACGAACGAATGAACTGACTTCTCTCCTCCTTCCCCAGGCCTGTGGTGGTGGAGACACGCCCAGCAGATGACCCCACTGCCCCCAGCAACCTCTACATCCAGGAATGAGTCCCTGGGGGGGGGGGTATTGGGAACCACGCCCTGCGCCCCCATCCCCAACGGACACACTTAGTGGTTGTGACACCCACTTATCTCCCAATAAACATGGCTCCAGCCTCTGCTGTCATCGTGTTCTTCTGAAGGGGAGAAGGGAGGGCGGAATTCCTGGATGCCCACCCACCTACCATCCCCAAAATGTCAAGAACCCAACACAGTGATGTCAGGGGTATAGCACAGACTTTACTTCTCCAGTACATGGTCACGTCCCCCAGCTGCCTTCGGGGGAGGGTTTGGGGGCTAAGGGACTTATGAGAATAAGGCACTTGAGGTTGGGGGGTGAAGGGCCAGCTGGGGGTCTCAGCTAAGCTGGTCCTCATACTGCTTGCGGAAACAATCGCCAGCTGGGAAGAAATCCCAACATCTCTCTTGGTACATCTTCCAGACATAAGACTCCTAGAGTTGGGGCACGGGGAAGAATTGGTCACATCTTCAAATGCTCATGCCGACATGCGCTTCTTACTGCCACCTGCTGCTTGACCTTTTATTACAACTCCATGTCCCTGCCCGCTCCCATTACCACCCCCTTACCTGGCCCGTGTGTTCCGTTTCGTCCTTATTTATCAGATACATCAGGAAAAACCTGAGGCGGGAGGGCAGCGGAGATAGGTCAGGATTACCCTAACTTTCTCCTGATTGGCTGGCTGGAAAGCCACCCACCCTGATACCACACCTAACTGGCCGATGCCCAGTACCACGCCCCTCGCAGTCAGTGGCCACGCCCCACCCACCCACCCTGATTGGCCAACCGGCCCGTGCTCACATGTAATTGGCCAGGTTGTGCTCCTCTAGCGTGTGGGTCTCGAACCCGTGTGGTGTCGTATCAAAGTAATCGCTGCCGATCCCACAGATGAAGCACTTGGTCTATGGGTGGCGGGGGACATCAGAATCCTGGCCCATTCAACGCCCTCCCCCACCCCGGGGGTCCGGATTCCCTCTGGGTCGCCCCCAGACTCGACCTACCTCCATATCTTCCTTCACTTGCTCTTGTTGGTCTCGGAGCTCACCGAAAGCGTCAATGATCAGACCTACCACGGCAGGTGCAGCAGGTGCAAGTCAGTGCCCAAACTCCGACCCAACCCAGACTCCTCCCTCTTGGGGCTACCTACCTCTGAGCCTTGCCTCCTACCCCCCATCTCCCTCATCTTATCTCTGCTTCCTGAAGATAATAACACCTAGTGTTTACTGAGCACTTATTATGAGCAAAACACCTAGGAATTAACTTAATTCTCACAGTAACGCTGTGAGGTTAGGATCATTAATATCCTCATTTGCAGATGGAAAAACTGAGGCCCAGAGATGTGACTTGCCTAAAGTCTCACAGTAGGAAGAGGCAGAGCCAGGATATGAGTCCAGGTCGACTACACTCTTAAAGGAGACACTCCCCACTCTCACAACCCTGACCAGCACTGACCCTGGATGATGGCCAGCAGGATGACGATGACAAAGAAGAAGAAGGTGATATCGAAGACTACTCGGTACAGCTCATATTCATCGCCTGCTGGATCCTCAATCTCATCCCCGATGCCCCCACCGGCTCGGACACCCACGTACATGTGAAACAGGTAACACTGTGGGGGAGGTGACAAGCATACTGGTCATACATTCTATCATCCGACATTCTCCAAGTACCTCCAGGGCCCTGGACTGAGGGGATGGGCAGACACAGCAGTGACTGAGCCAGCTCTGGGCCCTGCCCTCCCAGGGCTCACAAACATGGCATCAGATAGTGACAGGCCAGAGTGATCATGGCTGTGATAGGGAGGACACAGGCAGAGGGGGCAGAGCCAGGGAGGGGGAAGCACAGGGCAATCAGGGGAGAAACAGAGGGAGCACAGGAAGCTTTGAAGCTTCGAAAGCCTGACTCAGAGTGATCAGGCTGGACTTCCCTAAAAGAGGGGACATGTGAGAGCTGGAACTTGAAGGAGGTGTTAGGTGGGAGAAAGTGTTCCAGGCAGAGAAAACCACATGTGTTACGTCACCTCTGGGGAGCAAAGAATACATTGTGCTCCCAGGAGGAACTGAAATAGGTTCAGTGAGGCTAGAAAGTAGAGCTCCAGTAAGCAAGAGCAGGGAGAGAAATGAGGCCAGCTGATGGTTGGGGAGGGCTTCCTGTAGGAGGCAGCACTTAAGTTGAAAGGTGACGTGTCAAGTGAGAGAGAGGCGTGGACATGGGGCCTGTGGTGGAAGAAGGAGAGAATGTCAGATGCTCAGGGTTTGGGTGGGAGGAAACACATGGTCTTAGGGGAACCGAAAGAGGACAGGCAGCCAGGGAGCAAAAAGTAAGAGAGACTGTGGTTAGATTCAGGTAAAGCTGGCTTTTCCCTGGTGTTGTGAACCAAGGGGAGGGATTTGATTTTATCACATAGCACTAGAGAGCTACAAGAAGGTTCTGAGTGAGGAGGGGGGCACGGTATGCCTGACACTTGCGAAAGATTTTCCACTTGTTCTTTCTGTGTCCCCAGGAAGTGAGAGAATCCTGTGTCTCAGTTAAGAGTTCAGACTGGTGACTGTGGTGGGAACAGGGCTATGCGTGGCAAGACTAGGTCTGGCGGGGCCTCAAATGTCACGCTGAGGGGCTGGACTGTGTCCTGAGAGCAAGGCGCCAGAGTACAGGACATCTTGTGCAATAGCCCTGAGATCATTCTTCTCCACTGTGGCCCATGCCTCCACAGGCGCAGCTCAGTCTGGGTCATGACCACCATTATCAGAATAAAAGAGAACGTATAAACAAGCATGGCATGCTGATGCTTTGGGTGAAATTTTTTTTCTTTCTTTCTTTCTTTCTTTCTTTCTTTCTCTCTCTCTCTCTCTCTCTTTCTTTCTCTTTCTTTCTTTTCTTTCTTTCTAAGTAATCTCTACACCCAACCTGGGGCTCGAACTTAAACCCCGAGATCAAGAACCACATAGTCAGTCGCTCCACCTACAGAGCCGCCCCTGGGGGAAACTTTCATAGATCACGATGAGAGTAGCTAACACCTACATAATACTTAATACACACCAGGTGCCATTGTAAGACTTTTGAGGGAACTCCATGGAGTCCTACAATCAGCCGTTGGCTGGAGGCACTGTTATGACACACGTATTTTATGGGGAGGACACCAGAGCATGAGGAGGTTGGGCAGACCACCCCAAATCTCACGGCTCGTGAGCGACAGGGGCACGATGCGTGAGCACCTTTCCAACAATAATAGCTTTAAAGGCTCAAATAGGGGCGTCTGGGTGGCTCAGTGGGACCTGTGCCTTCAGCTCAGGTCATGATCCCAGGGTCTTAGGATCAAGCCCCAAATCGGGCTCTCTGCTCAGCAGGGAGCCTGCTTCCCTTCCTCTCTCTGCCTACCTGAAATCTCTGTCAAATAAATACATAAAATCTTTAAAAAAAATAATAAAGGCTCAAATAACATGACAAAGGCAATGAATGCTTACTGAGCACTAACTGTGTGTCTGGTGCCGTTCAAAGGCCCCCACAGTAAATCTGCGGGGTGGGTTCTCCTATTAACCTCCTTGACAGACAAGAGCGCTAAGGGCCCTCGAGTGCGCTAAGGTAAGGTAGCTCACCGTCATCATATCGTCACACTTCATGTCAGGCTCGTCCTCATCCTCACTCTTGTTGTAGAACTTGCGGAAGAAGTTGAAGGCCACCACGGTGTAGAGGTAGACAACCACCGCCAGGAGGCCCACGGTCATCACCAGCTGGGGACGCACGGGGGTGGGGGGTGAGGTGGAGGGGTGGGTGTGCTGTCAGCTCCATGCTCAGCCTGCCCCTCCCCAGGCCCAGTTTCCCTGGCAACCCCACCCCGCCCCTGCAACTGTCAGCCAGTGTGGCCCTCCCTCCCCGGTCCCACCACGCACACCCACCCTGGCTCAGCCCACCCAGCCTCACCCCTCCTCATGGGAGCCACCCAGCCCTGCCCTCTCATCCACCCCTACTCAGACTACCAGCTCATCCCCACCAGGCTCACAGCCCTCAGTCAGGTCCTCCACACACCTGCTTTCCATTATGGGTGACGGAGGAGAGGATGGTTCGCAGCGTCTTGACCCCCATGGCAATGTCCAGGAGGTGGGCAGCGAAGAAGAAGTTGTTGTAGTGTCCCAGGAGGGACATCACCATGTACCAGCCCAGATATAGGAAAGACTGTGGGCACACAGGGTCAGGGGTTAGGGAGCGTGCGGGACTCACGGGGAGCACTCAGGGGGTCAGGGAGTGCTCATGAGGGTCAAGGGGCATCTGGGGGGTTAGGGAGCACTGTGGGAACATTTGAGAGGAATGGGAGTGCTCTGGGGGTCAGAGCTTAGGGAGTATTTGGAGGATCTGGAGCACTCTGGGTGAGAAGCCATCCCCAGGGCAGAGGGAACCCTCTGCTGAAGGACAGTCGGAGAATTCAAGAGCACCCAAGGGACAAGGGGCCTTGGGTAGGGGGGCATGGGGCTTCACAGGCCGAGGTGCACAGGGGCTCAGGAGTCAATCCCTGGTTCAAGGTTCCGGGAGGCCCCAGCCCCCCAAAGGCTCTTCTCCTGTAGTTCCTCCCCCACCAATGGCCCCTCCTCACATTGTCTGTGAAGATGACCCCAAACTTCCAGATCTGGTACTTGACATCAATGGACATGAGCCTGTGCAGGGCGGGAGGAAGAGGGACGGCCAGATGCCTGATGCTCAGACCCTGGCCACCTTCCCTGGCCACCCCAGGCCCTATAGGCCGGTCCCCAACTCACCAGGTGAGCAGTCCCGGTGGTGGTTCAGGCTTTCGCTCGTTGTGGGCTGTGATCTCCAGTGTGGCCAGATCCATGCCCAGCAGCTCAGCGATCCGCTCCCGCCCATAGATGTCCCCATGCTTGTCCAGGACCTGCGTAGGGGAGCGTGTGGCGGTGGGGACATGGCTGGAGTCGGGGAGGGCCACAACCTGCATGGGGTGAGGCTGGGGACACTCTGAACTTTGTGTGAGAAATTGGGGTGCATCTTTCTGGAGAGAAGGGCCAGAGCTTTCTTCAGATGCCCAGGGGGAGGGTCCAAGAGTGATAAAGTTTCAGTTGATTCATTAGCCAAATTCATAGGGATAATTTA